GAATTTCTAATCTTTAAACGTGTAACGAATGACTTACAATTTTTTATACTTTATCCTATTTTTTTCTTTCCTCTATAAAATAATAATTTTAATTTTTTTGTTGGATTTAGCACTTAATTATTTGCTCCTCTTTCTACAAATGTAAAAATTACTACCCGAATACTTGTAAGCAAATGCTTGTAAGCAGATGCAAAATGCAAAATAATCAAAAGTATTTTTTAATTAATCTTTAATTTTGGTAGTTGGTAACTAAATTTGGTAAAACGTTAATTAATTGATTTTTTTCTTAAATTCAATCGTCTTTAGTATTTTATGTCGTATGTGTGCAACCTCTATATACGGCACTGCCAAGTATAACACGTGTAAAGCTCAGCCAAGGGTGGGATAACGTTCTCAGGGTTCAGGTCGGACAGTTTCACGACGACCGTTGACGATGGTGCACGGTTGCAGCACTCGTTTTGCAGTACCGGTATGCGTTTCGCACAGTCAGCGTTTTGATTCAAATTTTCGGTTACGTGCAACCTAATACTCGGTTTCAGTCGTTTCTACGTGGACAAGTGATTTAACAATTATTAGAAATATTTTACGTGCATATTAAACAGAAAAAATATTCATCTATGACGTTTTATATTTGAAGCACGTATGGATATATCTTGCCGTCATTAATTTATCATCATTCATTTCATATTAATTTAATTAATTGTCTTACAAGTTGACTAACTTTCATCATTAATATTCTAATCATTAGAAAATAAATTGCAAGCTAGAAAATAAGTGTGATGCAATTGTACACGCACTGAAAAAAAATTGTTCATTTGATTAAACTAATTTAATTTGTCTCTGTGTCTTCCGAAGAATTATGTATTTAATCAGACATATTGTAGATTTATATACATACATGCATTCTCCACAACGAAAGAAGTAAAGACAATTAAATTAATTTAGTCAAATAAACAATTTTTTTTCATATGTTCAATAATGTTCTTAGCCCAGGAAAATTCCCCGAAACTTTAGAAAGAAAAAATAGTTTTTATTTTCGAATCTTTTCATTGCCATATTTTTCCGATTTTTTTTCTTTTAACAATTTCAACGTTATTTGTCAATGATTTTAAGACTTAAAATTTCTTTCACATGTAAGTGTTCGAATAAGCAAGTAGTTTAACAATAAAGTTCGTTATCGTGATCATTTATAAAATTTCTATTAATTTATGAATTTATTTCTTCCTGTTAAACGTTGAATGTTAATAAAAAAAAACAAGCCAATTAAGTGGCGGGTAATGCTAGACATATTGAACAAAATAAGAAATACAGAATTGAACGTAAGGAATTAACATTATTAGGCATAAAACTAGAAGCGGAGGATTTTTCCTACTCTGTGACTCTTCCTTAATCTCTTATCTTTAATATACCACTTTACTTTACCACCTTATTCTATTCATTGTATCTAAACTTTTACTTTATTAAATGGAAAATGTTTGTTTTGTGCATATGTAGTCTCAGAGATGTGTTAACAAGTTGTGTCTATGTTAAAGGAAAACTTATAAGTAACAAAATTATTAGTTCAAGCGTAATACAGATATACTTTATTTGAAAAACTACTCTTTTGTAATAGAAAGAATATGTATTCTGATATGTTATCACGGAAGTTTTGTAGCTCATTATCACAAAAGTTCTTATGGACAGAACTTATACTTGTAGTATGAATAATAGTAAAAATATATTACTGACAATTTTCAATTTTAGTTTTATCATTAGTCTCGGAATAACGTTTTTTTTTTAATTTTTCTATATTTTTCGGAAAAAAATCAGGTTCTTTTCCTTGATTTTATTTTTTCAGAAAGAACAACTTTGCTAAATCTAAAAAATTCGCTAGATTTAGATTTGAAAATAATTTTATTAGCTTATCAAAATATTTATATATACGGAATCTCAAGCATAATAATAATAATAATAATGAATGATGCTGCAAGAAGTTTTGACATTTTAGCAACCGGTTTGAATGTTTATACGTATATAATTACTCCGATGATCTAATAAAATTGTTTAGATCTAGTTAAATTTTTAGATACTATTCCACAAAACTTTTTCGTTAAGCGAAATTAGTCTGAGTCAATCAAAGTTAATCTGACAAACTTGAAGCCCATTGTTAAAAATAATAGAAAATTGGACTTGTGTAATATTATGTTACGGAATTGATTACCGTTACAGCTGTTTGTATTTCATCATGCATATGTTGCACGCATAGTATAATGTATTCATTTGATGTATATGATACATGTATTCCAAAAGCATTGTAGTTACTACATTTTCGCATTTTATTCATCGAAAATTCCATTCTACGTTGAAACTTAATTACCGGTTTTTTAATTTAATTCACGCGATTTTTGTCAGCAGAACTGTAATTGTATGCACGTCACACACTACTGAGCCTCACCTTGACTTTGTGCTCGCAGACTTTTTCTAAGAGCAAATTCATGTATTAATAAAACGAAGGTAATAAAAAAAACGCGAAACATTGTATTCGAAATTTTTATGAAATTATATTATCATTGTTTATTGATTATATTAATCGTTATTTATATCAGTCACTAGACTTCGATTTTTCAAATAATTATATAAAAATAGCAATAATCAAAGTCTGCAACGTGAAAACATTTTATTTGTCACTTTAACATATCTCAATACACTGAGACATTAAAATAATCGTACTTATTTAAGCATTTTAAAAACGCTGAATAATGTTATGAATTATTGCTACATAATTTTCATCATTATTTTTGTTTTTTTATGTTGTTTAATGATTTTATGAATATAACTATATATATATATAGCAATTCAAAAAAATTATATACGACAAAATCTTATGCTCCATCGATCAGTGTAAAAAAATCTGACGCATGATCGTAATTCTATTGTCATCTACGCACGAAGAATCGAAGGTTACGCATTGACTGCGAAATAGCTTTTGTATTGATACGAAATATTTCAGCTGCTTCGTAGCACAGCTGTAGTTTTCTCTCCAAGATCTAAATGAATACAATGGGGAGGGTAGGTCTAGGATCCCTAATATTGTATAGCTAAAACTTATCGTTTGAGAACGCCACATGGGGATTTTCTTGTCCTTTCTTAAATCAAAGAACGATTTCCTGTGCAGCCATATGTGTATACATTTTAAAGAAAATACCATACATTTTCTACCATTTTATATACTTTCTAATAACTGATTTTAATAAATAGCTAAAAATTGTATATTTTTATAGAAAAAGTGATTCAAATGAATTGTAAGTTCCGAATATATAGTATATAAGATATCTTTTATATGAAATTAATGATAAAAGAAATATAAGAAAAAAGAACGCATGCGTATATCGTTCTGAGAATGGAGTCTGTAATAATTATTTCAAATCGAGGCTAAAATATTTTTAAAGTGGCTTTAGGCTCTATCTTATAATTTTTTTTCGGAAAAAAGAAAAAAATGGACTTGAGGTAAATGTTCTTCGACAGTAATTAATTATGTTCAGTCATTAATTAAATTTTGATCGATAATATGATATGCATAGATCTAGTTAACGTTCATTAGCTTTTATTAGCTGACAGAATGTCGACGGTATTCAGTCCGCTAACGCACTCCACGTGCTCGAGACTTGATCAATTGGGACGTAATCGGCGCGAGCAATGTACCAGATGCGACACAGATTATATACGTAATCGTAATAAGTCTTTTATGACAGAAGATTTGTACGATTGTTTACACAATATCGCGCCTATCAACGACCGTGTATATTTAGAACGTCGACTCATGAGCATACATTTAACAGCCCAGGATGTTCTACAAGGAGAAGCCGATCGCTCCTACAGTTACTTTGTATGTTTAGAAAACCAGTGAGAATGCGAAAGATGATTCGATTAGACAGTCTTAATAAAAGTTACATCACACCGACTGCGACTGCGTAGGAGTGTGACAGGAATATAGTGTTTCAAATATAAAGTGCTGCGGTAAAATTACAGACATTTCACGTGACATTCCAAAGTTGGACTTGCGAAATATGAAGCAAGTGTCATTTTATTCCACCCTAACCGCGGAGGAAAGGACCCGAACACACCCTTGCAAGAAGACTAGGTGGTAGGTTCTCTCTTTCCGAAGATCCCCAAAAATTTTATCTTTGCTACCCGAATTCCCGTAATATTTCGAAGAGACATTCTTCTTTATCTACCATTTATCCATCTGTAGCCTAGCGAATGTACATAAGCTTATTCAAATGAAACATGTTCTCTAAATGTTCTAAAAATCTAACATTTTAAATTATATTATATATATATATATATATATATATATATATA